GTAAAAATATAAGGAGATCAGGGAATTTAATAAAACCACAATTATAATTCATAAAGCCAGATAGCAGGTAAACAACTTCCCAAATAATAATGGATTTCCAAAGATTTACTTTTCATTATCTTTATCAATTTCTCCGGCCAGGAAAGGCAAATGTCAACATTTATAAATCTCAAGCAACAATACAAGCATGCACATATCATGCCGAGGTCGTACGGCCCGATCCAACATAAATGTAAAATATGCACTGTCGAGGGTCGAACGGCATGAACCATAGATGCATCTATTACCCCGCTCGCGAATCATCCATGCGACGTGGTCAACATGAAATAAACAAACACCCTGCTCGCGAATCATTCATACGATGCAAGTACACATAGAATCACAAATTCAAACAGTTAATCCAGACTTCATCAGGGAACAACTATCTAAGGAAAATCCAATTCTCTTTTAGCGATTCAAGAAAATGAAGTTTAATCCATTTTAGAAATTTATTTACCAATTCGATAAGATTTAAGCAATTTAAACCGTCAATAGGATTACAAATATTTCCAAGTACAACATATTTTTGGGTCCTAGACTACCCGGACAATAGCATAATAGTAGCTATGCACGGACTCTCGTAACCTCGTGCGTACGTAGCCCTCACAAATAGGAGCACATAACCTATTAACTCACCTATGGGGACAATTCCCTCTTACAAGGTTAGGAAGGAGACTCACCTCACTCCGAAGATCCATAACTGGCATTACACGCTTTTCCAAAGACTCAAATCGATGCACAATGCTCCAAAACTAGCCAATAATTATGCAAATCCATTAATATATGTTCAATTACTCATTACAATCCAATTTATAACAATTCCTAACCCCGATCGAAAAGTTGACAAAATTGCCCTCGGGCCCACGTGCCCGGATTCCTAAATTTTTCGAAGATAAAGTTTACCCATGAACTCACGAACTCAACTATATGATTTTCTCTTAATTTCATACCCAAAATCGTGGTCAAAATCCAAGAATATCAATTTTCTAGGTTTTCCCTCAAACCCCAAGTTTCTACAAATTTTCATGCTCAAATCCGCACATAATCAATGTATTTAACTCAATATAGGTGGGGTTAACTTACCTTGTCATTGATAATGAAAAACCCACTTGAAGCTCCCCAAAATCGTCCACGCCAAGTGAAAAATGGGGGGAAATGACCAACCCCCCAATTTTTAAAGATCTTACTGCCTCCAGCACTTCCGCACCTGCGGTCTCTTGACCGCTTTTGCGGTCCTGAAGGTGCGTACAAGATCGTCCGATTGACCTTAAATTTTGCACATAAGCCATATTTGACATTACAGACCTACTCCAACTTCTGGAATCGAAATCCGACCCCGATATCAAAAAGTCAACTCTCGGTCAAACTTCCCAAAAACCTTCAAATTCCTATCTTTAGCCAAATGACTCCAAAATGACCTACGAACCTCTGAATTTACTTATGAACATGCTCCCAATACCAAAATTACCATATGGATCTATTCCCAGACTCGGAATCCTAAACGGACATCGATAACACTGAAATGCACTTCAACCCAAACTTATGAAATTTCTTCCAAAATGCTAACTTCCACAATAGGCACCGAAACATTCCCGGGTCTTCCAAAACCTGATCCGGGCATAAGACCAAGTCCAAAATCATCATACGAAGCTGCTGGAACCTTCAAACCCCGATTCCGAGGTTGTTTACTCAAAAATCCAACCTTAGTCAATTCTTTCAACTTAAAGCTTCAAAAATGAGAATTCCCTTTCCAAATCAACTCCGAATTCCCCGAAATTCAATTCCGACCATGCGTACAAGTCATAATACCTGAAGTGAAGCTGCTCATGGCCTCAAACTGTTGAACGACGTGCTAGAATTCAAAACGACCGATCGGGTCATTACACTATCCTTTCGAGTTTCCACTTGATAGTCCCCAAGGCATTCATCTACTTGGATCGCCTTGGGTAGGGTATCTACCATTTGTCTTTGCAGCTCCATACGAGCATAAGGTTTCAACCTTTCTAAGAAAGTGAAGAGCTTGTCTTTGTCCCCCATGTCGCGTATGTTTAGCATGAGCGTGGAGAATTCATGCACGTAGTTTTGCAATGATTTGGTCTAGCGGAGCTCCCGTAGCTTTCTCCTTGCATTGTATTCAATATTTTCGGGGAAGAACTATAGGCGTATGGCTGCCTTCAGTTTTTCCCACGTCTCGAGAGCATCTTTACCGGCCTTGATGGCTTTGTATTTCACCTGCCACTAGAGTTTAGCATCACCATGAAGATACATGGCAGCAGTTGCTACCTTCTTAGCTTCTTCCAAGCCCCCCAGGACATCAAAGTACTGTTCGATGTCGAAGATGGTTTTCCACTTCTTTGGCATTTCGAACTCCACTATATGGCTTTGGCTCAGGAATTTTCAATTTTTGTGTTGCGGGGGACGAGGTTCACAGCACCCCTGATTTGGTTTCCGCGTCCTCGAAGAAGGCCTTGTAAAGCAGCGTTGACAATATTGAGTTGGCCTATCAAGTTGTCAATAGTTTGTTGCATGACAGTCACCTTGTCTGCCTTTTGTGACCTGTAGGCTAAATTCTTGGTACGCTTCTGTTGGAGGCTCTTGAATTTGCCAAAAATTTTGGCTGCCTTTGTGGCTGCCATTTGCCGGTCTCTTTCAGAGTCGCGACTGATGTTTTCTATGTCAACTTCGGCCTGGAGCATTCTGCTGTCCAGGTCATCCAACCTTTGCACTAGGCCAATTCTTATTTCAGGCACCATATCCACGATAGGCCGTAATACGTCAACCGTCTCTTCAAGGGCCGCAATGCGGTCCCCATGATTCACCATGGTCAGAAATGGTGGTAATGGCTATATGTTCCCTCGTCTGATATCAAGCCTATGCTCTGATACCAACTGTTATGCAGCGCCTTCTTGAGATTCCTTGGAAGGGCGACGTAAGGCTAAGCAACTGATATCAGTGTAGTCACTATTCACCAACTGAGGTCCCCTCTGCTAGACGAGATTGTCAGTGTCGTACGAGAAAATTAATCAAGAACAATTGAGAGAACATAAATGAGAATTGAGAATGAAAGAAAGCTTGATTGCATTAATGAAAGTTATTACAGAAAAGCAATGCGGTGTTAAGGGGGGGAGACACCAGTATAGAGAATTGTTTGCTTGCTAGAAAGTTTGATTTCTTGATCCCCCCTAATAGTGCTTAAAAAAAATAAAGCAAAGTTACAAGACTAGACTTAACTAATCTAGAGAAACATAATGAAAGTACATGAAATAAAACTACTCTATATTTACAATGAAAAGAACTTAGTTTTCTACAAGGAAGAAACAGGTTTGTTGTCAGCAACATTGTCTTTGGCTTCACGGTCTATGCGCGTGGTGTTGTCTGCGTGTGCGGCCCTATTGGCATCTGCCTGCGGCTGGGCGCTGGCGAGGGATATCAGTGGGGAGACAGAGGCACATGCGCGCTTGTCACTTAGCGCAGCCAAGACCACAGGACCGTCCGTGGCGCTAGGTGTTGGGAGGCTTGCTAGGATGCCACGGGGCGCACCCAAGGGGTCATGGGGCATGGCTGGAAAGCCGCCCATGACAGTACTCTCTTCACAAGGAGATCTTTACTTTGACTCAAGGAACTCATCTGTGTGAATATACTATTCAAGGTTGAAGGATTTATGGGATGAGTATGATTCAATGATGCCATCTCCTTCATGTGACTGTGAGAAATCAAAGGATTTTGCAGTGCATTTGCAATATCACCGCCTATTACAGTTTTTAATGGGACTGAATGAAGGTTATAGTTGTTAGGTGTTTGTCCAGATTTTCTTTCCATATTTGGTTTTCCTATTTCCACAACATATTTACCATAATAGGGTTTATCTTTTCCTAGAAGGAAAATATAATTCTTTCATATTTGGCTAGTCCCTTTTCTTGTAGGAAAATATTTGGAGTTCTATAAATTGAAGATTCGTCCTTCTCATCCAGTAGCATTCACAATATTGCTATATAGGGTTTGAGAGTCATATTTAGGGGGAGAACTTTAAGGGACAAGTGTTTTACTAGTAATGACTCTGAACAAAAACACACGCACAAGTGTTTTCAACAACTTTAAAAAGATAATAAAAAGAAAGACCAATCAGTAGCTTTTCTTTTTTACTTTCTTAATTTGATGGTTCAAAAATTCAAAGAAGCTAGCTTGGTGAACATCAGATGGTATCTATTTTGCTTCCTTCATGTGGTAATGATATTTATCTTGACTCTTTTTATTAAGAGGAAATTAAGATGGGCAACGTATTAAATAACTCCCTAACCGATGTTTCATGTCAAAAGTGCATGCCAGAAAACATTAGAGATCGCTAAATATAGAATTTAAACTATTTGTTGATTACAATATAATGGAGGCAATCTAGTTAAGACCAACAAAATATATATTTTGAAAACTTCCTTTTTTGTCTTGTCAGTATCACTACCCCTGAAATATCAACTTGAGTAATGTTACTTAATATTTAATCTCATATTAATACTTTATATTGGTGAACTCGAATTCTACAAGTAGTACGACGTATTAGCATCCAACTTATTTAATTCGACAGTTCGCTCTATAATTTATCATTTATGGACATTGATAAAATACATCCGTTTAGCAACACCTTAGGATGGCATAGTCTTAAAAGTGAAGGGCAAGGTTCCAATTTATCTAGTTTAGTCAAGAAAATTCGGACTGATAATAGAAAAGATTCTCTTTAATTAAGCAAAATATATAGTCTATTTTCTGTATAGAGCTTACACGGTGATTAGTACGCATACTCCTTATATCTTACTCAAAATAATAATTATTGTATTTCTTTAGTTTTTAGTTTTATTTTAAAGGCGTAAAGACGACACGTCATACTTGTGTTTTAGTAATAAAAAGCGATTATGAGACAATCTAAAAGTAAAATGAAATTGAGTAGATATGATATACGCCATGATTGGCAAGAGTGACGTCATGAAATTAATATCGAGGGTCATGCGTGTATATTAAGGTGCAATGAGTATTCGATCTCTTTTGAAACAAGAAGGGTAAAAAATTAAAGAAAAATTACTTGTGCAAGAATCAGAGGGGGAATTAATTAGTCCACTAATTATCTCTAGTAGAGAGATTAACAATAATGGGGAGAGGGAAAGTAGAATTGAAGAGAATAGAGAATCAAACGAGCAGGCAAGTTACCTTCTCCAAGAGAAGAACTGGCTTACTTAAAAAAGCATTTGAGCTTTCTATTCTCTGTGATGCTGAGGTTGCTCTTCTCATTTTCTCTCCCTCTGGCAAAGCTTACCAGTTCGCTAGTCATGAGTAAGTCTTATTTTTATTTTAATCTCCCTTTTTAGGGGCGTTCTTTGGGTTCATATTTTCTAACGTAGTAATATTTACTTGATTCGAGGGTCTATCAGAAATAACGTCTTTATCAGATCCTGGTCTATGCGATTTCACTGAGTATGTTTTTGTTGTTGTAACGTACGTTTACTTATAGTTATAAAAGTCCAAGTCCAGTAATTACTTTCTATTTCCTGAGGTATAACCAGTTTATTTCATTTATAAACTATAAAAGTAACTAATATAAATCCGTTAGGAATTAAGGTTTTGTTGAGAAATTATTTTGTTAAAAGTTTAAGGGTTTCAGGTTTCTTACGGAGTGTTAATTAAAGACCATTAATTAATAAAAAGCAGGCCAAACAAAGGCAAAGTATTCTGTAAAAGTTTGCATGTACAAAGGGGGAAAATCATCAAACTTTTGCTTCATGGGTTATTGGATTATACATGTTCTATTTTTTGTAACGAAATGCGAGATTAATACTTTTTTATTAATGGATGCAGCATTGATAGGACCATTTTAAGGTACAAGAATGAAGTTGGATTATCCAAAAGTACTAATGATCAAGGCTTCAGAGCTACGGAGGTAATTAATTTCTTCTTAATTCAACTTCTTTTAAGCGCCATAATGGAAAAGATATATAGTATAAACCAAGCAACATAGTTAGAGTAAATTTTATTATTTATATTTAATTTTTCTAACACTACTCTATGGAACTTTGTCACCATATATTAGTTTGATAAACTTTGACGAGTACTCTGCTTCTCATCGATTAGGTCCGGAGGTTTGAGATTGAAGACATGACCAGAACAATAGATGAACTTGAAGCCAGAGATAAGTATGTTTAAACTAGCGTTTGAACATATATTTGGTTGAAACTTGAAAAAATGAGTTCTTGAAGACAAGATGAAAAATAATTTTTGAAAGTTGAAATTGTGTCTGGACATGCATTTTACTTGAAAAGAACTTGAAGTTTTGTGAGTAAAAAACTTCAAAACCGCTCTAAAGTTGTTTTTGGGATATGAAAATTTTGTTTTCAAAATCTGCCAAAAAAATGGTTAAAATCTATAAACAAAGAGATATTTGAAAAAAAAAAATCCAAAATTTANTGGGGGGAGGGAGAGCGAATGGTATTAAGCTATTGCTCAGTTTTCATACTTTTGTATAGGTTCAATATGCTAATTCAGAAATGTCATGTATGAGCGTATACATCTTGCTATATATCCAATTGTATATAAATATATTCTGGGCAGGCATTTTGCTGGAGAAGATATATCAACTCTTGGTATGAAAGAATTGAAGCAGTTGGAGCGTCAGCTGAGAATTGGGGTTGAACGCATTCGTTCTAAAAAGGTGTATATGAAATAAGAGTGATCAGTAACTTAATAGTATATTTTTTAAATTGATTTCCACCAAATTCGTGATAATTGGTGAGCTACATCTAATTAGTTTATTTTTACTTTCATGTAACAGAGGTGTATCATTTCCGAACATATCAACTGGCTTAAGAGACGGGTGAGAATCTAATACGAGCGATATATATTTAGAGAATCTAATTTAATTGAAAATTTACAACAAAAAAATAATTAATTTGAAAATGTTTATGGAAAAGATGGGGCTCGTTAATTTTTTCTTGAATATTTTTGTATTAGACAACAGTTTCTAAATAAATCAGTGCAGAAATGTTAATCATTTAGAAATTAACAGAAGACATTTATCTAATTTAAAAGAAAAGAACTATTTTTAGTAATTAACTTCTGTTTATTCATCTTGTATGCAGCATAAAATCCTTCATGAGGAGAACATCCATCTCCAAAAGCAAGTGAGTAATGCTTACAATAGTACCACATAGTATTTCTTAATATTTCAATATTTGGTAGGGTTATATATGTTTTGGTCGTGTTTAAGTTTAAACTACCTAGTATTCTCAAATTCCAGAAGTAGCCCTTATTTGCGCAGTAACGTCTATCTGATGTATTGCAAAACTGAAAAAAAGAACAAGGTTAATAACATAGATCTCCTCTAGGTTTAATGAAGAACCATTTTACTAAAAATAGTTGATATATCTTTAACTGCCTGATACCTTTAATCCTTTATAGTTGATTTTGGTAAATTTTGTATGTCTCCAAATTTAACTATTTTATTATTCCAAAATGCACAGGTAAGGTTGCATGAGCTACGTGAAGGTGAAGGGAGCTCAACCATTCTCGATTCTGATGCAAGTTTTGAGTTAATTTCTAAGGTAATCTAAATTAAATATACTACATAAGTTTAAGAAAGTTTATATCAATTTGCTTATT